TTATAGAGGAATTAAGTTAATGTGTCATGCTTTAAAATTTGGTAGAGAGTTATGGAGCGTAGGTTGTGGCGTGACACTAATGTTTTTCAAAATCAATTTTGATTCATGCCAGGTAGGTCCAACCATTAAAAAAGCGGACGAGGCGTCCGCATTGAGTCACGCCTCAAGTCGAGGCGGAAGTCATGCGTATCAGGGCTTATGCCTCGAACCATCCAGCGAAGCCTACGATTTTTTCGCACGAGGCGTACGCATTAGAGCGTAACGCCTCGAGGCAGTATGAGGCATCGCCTCGAAATTTTTTCTTCGATATATATGTAAATACGACGCAGCCGATTCGTGTTCGTGTATTCGCGTATAGGATTAAGGCTTCCTATGAGAATTGAAGCTGTGAGGGAAAGAGACGAAACCATGAGGGAAGGAGACGAAGCCGTGAGTGTAGGAGACGAAGTCGGAAGGAGACGACGTAGGGAAAGAAACGAAGCTGAAGTTGTGAGTGCAGGAAACGTTCAGGCATCGGTTAGGTCGGAATAGCAGGTACGCGGTGTTGTGGCCTTGACTTTGACATGTAGTAACGAAAGCTTGAATAACTCCTGATTTGGCTTTCTTTCATTCGTCCGCTCAGTACATGCTCGGTACCGAGCAGGTACAAGCTCGGTACCGCTCAGTACATGCTCGATACCACTCAGTACATGCTCGGTACCGCTCGGTACCGAGCCAGTTCCGCTCGGTACCGAGCCAGTTCCGCTCGGTACCGAGCCAGTACCGCTCGGTACCGAGCCAGTACCGCTCGGTACCGAGCCAGTACCGCTCGGTACCGAGCCAGTACATGCTCGATACAGGTCGAACCCCACCAGGTGCAGCGCCCCCTTGGACTCTTGGTAGACTGGTATATTTTGGTATTCATGTTGTTTTATTATTTGTAGTACAAATAATTGTTAAAATATGTCCTATTGTTAGCATGACTAGTGGCATAAGAAGGAAAGATCCTGCATGGAAATATGTAACTCAAGTTCAAATGTCAGGCGAAGGTGCAAAGAAGGGATATATTTACATGAAATGTAATTTCTATGAGAAACGCATAACTGGTGGCGTCAAGAGTTGAAGGATCATCTAGCCTGCACTCATGTCAATGTGGGGCCATATGCAAAAGTTCCTGATGAGGTGAAAAAGGAGTATACAAATTATTTTAAAGAAGTTTGCCACCACAAAGGAGGTCACACAAAAAAATATGGAAGAGATGATAGGAAACTCTTCTTACTATGGATCACAGCATGAAGGTTCAAGTACTGGAAGCCATCTAGTTTCTTCTGACCGAGGCAGTCGGGGGCCCATGGATAGATTTATGCTAAATATTGATAACGACGAAAACATAAATACTCAGGATATTCAGCCTCCGATAGCTACAAAAGAACTCAGCAACAGAGTTTGTTTGGATATCGCCAGATTCATCTATGAAAATGGGATTCCGGGACAGTTGCCTCAACATAAATTAGCCATATTGAAGGCCAAATTCGTTAGTAAGTTTATATACAATCATTCTTGGGTACTCAGCTTGATGAGAAAATTCACTAACAAAGAAATTATTTGACCCGCTATTACAAGATTTGCTACTGCATATTTAACATTGCAGAGATTCAAGGAGTTAAGACAACCTTTGGAAGCAATGTTTGCTTCTGAAGAGTGGGATAAAAGTTCACGGGCCAAAAAACAAGAAGGAAAATAAGTTAAAAGATTGTTATGAAAGACTATTCATTTTGTCGCAGTACAAATTATGCTTTGAAGACAACAAGACCATTAGTAAAGGTGCTTAGAATGGTTGATGGTGAGAGGGTCCTGGCTATGAGATTTATTTATGAGGTAATGAATAGGGCTAAAGAAGACATTACAAAAGAATTGGGAGGTCAAGAAAGTGTCTACAATGAAATATGGGATATTATAGATGAAAAGTTGGATCGATAATTACACAAACACTTACATGCTGCTGCGTACTATTTAATTCCCCAATTTCATTATGATAAGGATTTTCATGTTGACAAAAAGGTGAAAACTGGTTTGTATGCATGTATGGACAGACTTATTTCTGAAGAAGACTACCTCAAAGTGAATGATCAACTTGAGGATTTTCATTTGAAGAAGAGAATGTTTGGATTTAGGGAAGCACAAGCATGCTACAAAACACGATCTCCTAGTATGTTTATAGTTTGAGTATTTATAATTTTAATGTTAATATTTATATTTAAGTATTCTACTTCAACCGATATTCATAAAATACTATGTTTGTATTCATGTAGAACGTTGATGGGCTCAGTTTGGAGATGATGTTTCTGAATTGAAAGCTTTTGCAGTTAAAGTTCTTTGCCTAACGTGTTCGGCTTCTGCATGCGAGCGTAATTGGAGTATCTTCAATCAAATTCATGCAAAGAGAAGAAATCGATTGGCGGCAGATCGAATGAACAAACTAGTTTATGTTATGTATAACAAAAAATTGAAAGTGAGACATCTCAAATTGCAAAATCAAGGAAATATTGAGAATGAAATTGACCCTTTGTTTGTTGATGAGATACAATCTGATGATGAATGGGTTACTCCTAAGAATGCTGATGTATTTGAAGTTGAAGCAGAAGGAGAAAGTCATGTCAATGAAGAAGACAATGAAGCAACTACCCAAGTATATAAAAGAAAGAAACAAAGTGAGATTGGAGTTTCAAAAAAATTTAAAAGTATTCTTAAAAATAATGAATTATTTTGTATGTTACTATTGTTTCATTTTAGAGCTTATGAAATATTAACTGATATAGGAGATAAAAGAAAAAATATTATACATGAAGAAGAGTTGGAGGATGACTTTGACATTAATTATGAAGATTCTTCTGAAGACAATCAAAGTGATGATGAGCCTGCTTTGGGTCTTGATCCTAAAGGGATGTTTTATTTTTAAGTGAGTTTATTTTAAATCTTATATTCCAGTAATATTATCTTGAAACAAATCTTCAAATTCATAGTTGACATAATATTTTGTTATTTTTTGTTATTATTTATAATTTTAAATTAATTTATTTTAATCGTTTTGAGGCTTACGCCTCGATTTGCCTCGAGGCTTACGCCTCGCCTCGCTTAGAAAAAACGTCTCGATTCCCGATTTCGCTATTTAAAACCTTGGGTAGGTCTATTATGGAAGCTATACATTTATTGAGTGGTTTGATGGAGAAGTATAGAGAGAATAAGGAGGATCTACATATGATTTTTATTGATTTAGAAAAAGTATATGATAAAGCTCCAAGAGAAGTGCTATGGAGAGTTCTAAATCAGAAAGAGGTTAATAATGTTGATATTCAAGTCATTAAAGATATGTATGCAGGAACTGTTACTTGTGTTCAAACACAAGGTGAATTGACCAAGTTTTTTCCTATTTCAGTTGGATTACATTAAAGCCTTAAGCCCTTATCTTTTTTGCTTTAGTCATGGTTGTTCTCAATAGAAATGTCTGAACTATTGGTGGACTGTAAATTTGGATCTTTTGTGCATCCAATTCTAAGTTTGCATCAGTAAACCCTAGATCCTGTGACCCTCTACATCATTTCTGACAAAAACCTTCAGAAAGTAAAAATTATAGAGACAAACAATTAATATAAAAATGTAAAATTGAAATCCGAAACATAACAGAACAATGTTCTAGCATAGCTTATTGTATTGTAATGATTTACATTCTTCCTTTTGTTGCTGTTGTTGGTTGTAAACGTAATTTCTAGGCTGAAACAATAAAAGTTCATGCCATCATCATTTGTTGTGCTTTCTTTAAGTACTAATGAATAAAGATATTGGGGTTGAAGATGTTGGAAACCCATATTTTCATGATGATGGGAATGTTAATTGTCCTTGTGACTTGGAAGATTTTAAAGTTGACTGAGCAAAAGCATGATCTTATAGTTGTGTAGCATTATATTTAACCTTAAATGCAGAGTTCTAAGGTTTGAATCTTAGTAAAAAAGAAGTAAATAAACAATGTTTCTACTTTCAACATCATCCTCTCTTCCTGTTTTGATTTTTTATTTCTTAAAATTTAGAACTATATTGGGAGTACAACTTGAAAAGAAAATATCAACCCAGAGAAAGGTTTCAAACATTGTGAATTTGTCTAACATAATATGTGTTCTTGATTTCATTGATCTCTTACATTCGTGCTATGCAAACTTAATGATTTAGAGATCAAAACTAGGAGAAATTCACCAGTTCCATCTGACATCTTCTATGTTTTTCTTTTGTATTATTGGTTTCAACATTTGTCTGTATAAATTTGTATTAGTGGTCTCAAGATTGGGCAAGTACTGTTGTTAAAAGTCCTACCTTACTGTTTAGTTATTTTTTCCCCAATTATAAGCATTCAATTCCTCTTTAAAGTCATTTGGAAAGGTTCTGCACTTTTTAATGATCATTCGAGTTGGCAAAATCAATTTAAATTTATGTATAGTTTCTTATTGTTTGTTTGACCTTTTTAAATAGGATTCGGCTCACTATTTGCCTGATGATATATTTTACTTCAAAATAATAATTATACAAAAGGTTTCTTGGAAGATATTTTTGCAATAATCTTTTATAACAAGTAATCTGTACGGGAGATGAAGTCAGTAATAAATGAACTCTATGAAGTTTGCTTATCTAGTTCAACCCTGAAATTATTCTAATATATAATTTTTTATTTGATATCGTAGAACCTTTTCTTGCTAAGTATGAATGTTAGTTACTAGTTTTAATAAGTGCTTGATCACAATTTTATTTATAGTTGTTAGGCTAGGTTTTGATGTATTTGAAAGATGTGATTAAATCTTTGTGCGGAAGCATATATGTTTATTCAGTCTTCAACATTGATGACCATCACATTATAGAAATTATAGAAATCGCATATTTATGGAAATTCTAATTTCCCTTAGCATCTTGAAGATTTTCTGATAAAGATGATTTGAGTTTGGGAAATTATTTCACTCTTTTTGATTACTTGACAGATACCTGTAAACTCTGTTCGATCATATGGTGATTTGAGAACCGTCTTGATGAAGAGAATATTTTTATCAGCTCTGCATTTTAGAATAAACACCAGATATAAGGTAATTTTTACCTGAATTTTCATTTCGTATTTTATTTTGATAATGCGGAGCAATATTCTTGAACTGCATTCGGAATGTTATTATCATTATTTTTCTATTATTCTCTAGTATCGTGAATGCATGCAGCTTACATGTTGCTTAAGAGCTGTTGGAAATATTCTAGGTCCATGTAACTGCAAATTATCAGTTGTACAAGAGGATCTGAATATACAATTAGATGTCAACATGTATAACCCGAATCCTTAAGCTACTAACTGCCATGAAAAGAAGAAATGACATATTATCATATGCCATGGATCATAATTATAAACTATTATACAGAGGTGATGCAAGGGATGATGTTTCATCAGATGGATGCCTCGATGATGCATTAGCAGGGAATTATAAAGTATCATGTCAGATTAGTATTAAAATCACCAATTAGTCTAGTAAGAAATATATATATATATATATATATATATAACACTTATATATTATTATTAAAAAATCTCCAAACATAAAAAAGATTCAAATCGAATTGGTTCCATGAGTGATTTTTATTTTACAATAAGCATGCCAACTTGTTCTGAAAGATTTATTTTTCTTTTTATTATATGCTATGAAGCTTGGATATGTAGAGGGGCTTGAACCTGACATGATGTGGACAGAATGAATCATGATAATATGCTTGAAAATCTTTTAGATTTCAAATTCCTAGGGAAATTATGCATTAATGCTATGCTTAATTTTTTATAAGTAGCATTTCTTGCCTGAAAGAAAACAAATATATATTTACAACCATTATAGTTAAGAATTATGCTAATTGGAAAAAACGGTGTTAGGCAAGAATTTTTCAGAAAATCAGGAAGTTGAAAGAAGAAAAATTAATGATTTGGAATCCTAGTGGCTTAGAGGTGTGATTTATTTTTAATTTATATTCAAAATGTTTCAGAGCTATGCACTTGGAGAGTGCAAAATTACCTGATGTTATCTCAAAAAATAAGCAATCATATTTAACACGTGCATGAAATTTCTAAGCATTCTTATGCTTGGCATTTCTTCTGGGATACAATGATCCTCTGAAAGTTTCCGTGCTAAATATTGTTTTTGACATTACTATTCTTATTTTACTTTTGAACGTTGGCTTACATAGATTAAGAGAAACATATGCCTTTTAACCATTGTCTCAGTAAAGCCTATAATTGAACTTAAATCTCAAGGAAGTCGGAGTAAATTTTTTTTTTTTTTTTAATATTATGCTCAACAACAATAACAATAACATCAAGCCTTTATCTCACTACGTGGGGTCAGCTACATGAATCCTTTTTCTCCATTGTGTCCTATTAAAAGTCAAATTCTCATTTAAATCTAATAAAGAAAGGTCATTCCTAATATTTTCTAACCAAGTATTTTTTGGTCTACCCCTACCTTTCTTAACATAAGTCAAATCTAATACCTCTACTCTCCTAACCGGGTCATCGGAAGGCCGCCGTTTTATGTGACCAAACCATCTAAGGCGACTCTCTCTAATCTTATCTTCTACTGGAGCTACTCCAACCTTTTCACGTATATGCTCATTTCGTATCCTATCTCTAAGGGTAAAGGCACTCATCCACCTGAGCATCCTTATCTCTGCCACACTTAACTTAGTATTATGCTTCTCTTTTAATTGCCAACATCGGCACCTTAAAGCATTGCAGGCCTCACTACCATCTTATAGAATTTTCCCTTAAGTTTGAGGGGTACATTTCTTTCACATAACAAGCCCGATGCATTCCTCCACTTCAACCATCCAACTTGAATTCTGCTGATAATATCTCCATCTATTTCACCATCACTCTGAACAACAGATCCAAGATATCTAAAACGTGTACTCTTATTAATATTTTTTTGCATATTATGCTAATTTAAAAAAATTGGTTTTTTTTTGCATAAAATGTCAAATAATCATGTTCGATTAACAAGGTTATATCTTGTTTTTCATCAGCTGTGCTGCATCTATTCATTTTCTTAACTCAATATATTTTTTTTCTTTTTGAGGTTTTTAGTTTCTAAGTTTCTTCTTTCACATGATCTGTCTGGGGTCTTAGTTGATATAGACATATATGTTTTGATATACTGTTTCAATAAACAACTATTTCCTGAAAATTAGTTAATTGCTGATGATTTCATTTGGAAAACAATGAAGATCATATTGTGAACTTAGTTAACAGTTTCTATGGGCTATGACCCTACGTTTTAAATGAAACTGCCTGCATTATGCGCAGTTGAAGCTTTATCGGGTATGACAATAGAAATTATTTTCTTGTTTTAATTTGTGCATTATCTTGTCTTGAACTCCACATTTTTTGATTACTTTTTGCTTTAAATTGAAGTTGATTCGTCATTTTGTAGTCTATGCAAATTAATTTTAGATTTATTTTTTTTAATTATTTGCAGAGTTCAAATCCTCCTTTCACATCAATTGAGTTAGATCATAGTGATTCTGGCAGAGAAGGGTGCACAGTTACTACTCTTACGGTGACTGCTGAACCAAAAAACTGGCAAAGTGCCATTAAAGTTGCTGTTCAGGAGGTCTGTGGTCTTGGTTCTTTTGAGATGCATTGTATGACATTCATCTGCTTGAAACATTCTCTGATTTTATTATTGTTCTGTTTACATTCTTTCATATGCTATAATTGACATATTTCTATTAATTAGCTTCCAAGTTATTTTGGCGAAGAATGTCTGAAAGCACCACCGTACTCCTTTATGAACGAGAAACAATGTGTAGTAGAGTTACTTCAAAAATTCATTAGACTACAATTGTTTATATGCTTCCAATGAATAAGTCCGGCATCTAGAAAGATATTGTTTACTTGATAGATTTCTACATCCATTTATCTAAAAGAGAAATATTGAATAATGTAAGATCCAAAATGCCAATGCCTCTATTGTTCTTAGATAACAAATGAATTTCTAATTGTAATTTAATAGAGGTCTTGGCATTTTTGATGATAGTGAATTTCCATTTAACCTAGTGAAGCCTGTGAAGGCCTTATTAATTATATTACCATGCCAGAACTACTTTTAAATAGAGTTAATTTTTCAAATAACCCACTCAGGAATCCTGAAATAAGAAAAGTAAAAGAGTGGGTCAGAAGTAAGGTTAGAGCTGATGGGCATGTCTTCCACCTCTAGAGAGATACCTTTCCAACAAGGTACCTTCTGTTGAACGTTATTAATGACAGGCATCCGAAGGCTATTTGAATCTTTCTAGATTGTTTTGTGCTATATATGTTAATCATTTGTATGGTAGCAGTATTCTCTTGAATGCATTTTGATGTAGAATATTGTTTTCGTTCAATCTCTCTGATTAATTTGCCTCATGACAGGTCCGAAGGCTTAAAGAGTTTGGTGTAACAAAAGGAGAACTGACTCGCTATATGGATGCACTGATCAAAGACAGTGAACAATTAGCTGCGATGATTGATAACGTTCCGTCTGTTGATAATCTGGATTTTATTATGGAGAGTGACGCACTTAGCCATACAGTAATGGATCAAAGGCAGGGCCATGAATGCTTAGTTGCAGTTGCAGAAACTGTTACTTTAGAAGAAGTAACTTTTGTGGCTCTTTCTTTTATATCATTTTCATTTGGTTGTTAAATTTCCTAGGCAAAATTTTTTTTTACCATGAAGTCTTTCTCTATGTATAATTGATAATTTCATGTTGCAGGTTAACTCTGTTGGTGCGGAGGTGTTGGAGTTCATTTCTGACTTTGGAAAGTCTACTGCACCACTTTCTGCAGCTATTGTTGCTTGTGTTCCAAAGAGAGTGCATAGTGAAGGAGTTGGAGAAGTTGAGTTTAAGATCGATTCACAGGAAATTGTTGATGCCATAAAAGCAGGCCTTCAGGAACCAATACATGCAGAGCCTGAGGTTTTCCTCCCATTATATATTGCGCTCTGCACCAGAAACTCACCTGCTTTCAGTATTTGGTCATTTCAACATCTGCAAAGCGATGAGGGTTATTCTTTCTTTTTCGCTGCTTAGTGTTATGGCCACGAGTGTTTTGAATATTGAGTGGATCATGGCAGGTTTCCACAGTATTCTGGTCTTTGCAGCTTAACTATGCTCACAAATAGCTGGCATTCTTGAGCATTTGTGAAGTTTTGAAAATAATTATCAATTTAGGAGATCCTTACATCCGTCGATGGATGACACAATACAAATATTGAAAATACTTAGTTATGAAAAGGCATAGGATTCTCGATCTTAATAACATTTCAAGTTGCTTTGTCTCCCCCAAAATAAAGAAAATAGAACTACATAGAGAAATAGGAACTCATTCATTATTCTTCATATCTTTTTCTCTCCCCAAATGGAGAGAAATGGGGTATTTATAGAATACAAAGTCTCACCAATTAATCATTTTTTTTAACACTAATAACAAGAATGGTTTACTAATTACCTTTTGAATAATTATCAGTTATGTTTTGAATTTACAACATTACTCTCCCTCTCACAATGGTTTTGTCCTCAAGGTCGGACATCCTAGTCAATCAATTGGAGGTGGTGAACAAACATGTAACCACAATTTCTTAAGCAGAATTTCTTGTGCACCAGAGGAACGAAGAAGTTGGCAAAAGAAAACATTGATTGCCAGGACTTGACAACTGATAATGTAGGACAAAGAAACTACGAAGAATATGTTTGCCAAAAAAAATTGCACAGTTCCCAAGACTCTTATGATACTAAACAACATTTCATGATAAATAAAAAAATAGCTTCATGATTATAAGAAACATTTACAATATTCACTGATTTTTAAAGCCTTGCTGTTCTAATCAATTCTCACTGTTTGGCAATATGAGATACTAAAAACTGCTGGTAGGATTTCCACCCTAATGGTAATGAATCATTGGAAGGTGGTTTAGTTCTGTGTTTGGATGTTAGCTTGTCTTGATTTCCTTCCACGGCTGACTTTTCTCCTTCCTATCAACGATTGCCCAGAAACGTAGTATGTTTGAATTCTTCAGCTATCTGTTAAGGCAAACCCAAAGGGACAAGTAGTTTAATTGTTGTAGAAATCAAGAAACGATTTTATGCACTTGTTGTTACTCCATTACATTTTGTTCATCCACACCGTCTATAATTTCTTCAGCAAATGGACTTGCAATATTGTGATCCTCATTTTGTGCAGTATGATCTCCAAGATTTGGTTTGATGATCTCCTGAGGTGAGTAAAATTGTTGTGGTATTTTTTGCTTAGAAGAATTCCCATAACTAAAGTTCTAGTTCGAAGAAATCAAGTGGTAGTAACATAATGCCGCACCATCTGTATAAACCGAGGACATTAAAATGTTGTGCGTTAAATAGATTATGTTACAAAAAGAATTGATCAACCTTAACAAACCATTCTTTTGGATTATCCCCATTGAAAAAAGAAATTTCTATTTTAATTATTCTTGAATTCATGAGGTAATAGCAGAGATGAATTTTACTCCATGAACGTACTTGAATTGCTCATCAATCTTGTTTGATTATTGGTTTGCGATTTAAATTTCACACCAATTTGTTTTTCATCTGAATTAGATGTTGAGACTTGAGAGATGTCATGTATGATCAAGTTGATTGATAAAATTTGTTTTTTTTGGTTTTATCTAATATTTTCTTACAATTTCTCCAATATTCTTCATGTTTTTTTTTTGAATTATTTTTACCAAGGACGTTGCTTACTGAATTTCTACATTTCTTGGAGAAAATGAAATCACACCAAATGAATCACTGTTGGGCAAACGTGTGGTGGATGCTGCAATTAGAAAGATGCGAGGCTTGAAAATGCAGAAAATAGGGTGTGATGAGTTGTTGATCTAGATGCAAAATCGTTGCTCAAAAAGGGAGTGCTATTGTCGGAATTAATGTATCTGGACTGTTGTGAAAATCAATGTTGAACTTAGTGCATTTGTAATTTTTGCTAAATCGAACAAGCTATTGGAATCAAGGAAGTTGCTGCAATGGAATGATGAGTAGTAGGCGGCAAATTTCTTGGTAAGATATTTCTTTGATGTCTGATTATGAGTTCTTAATGGCGCAATGGGATTTGAAGTATTGTTGGAGCCCAACTTTGTGATGGAGTAGACAAACTTGGAATAAAAATAGTTGGATGAGCATGATTCTAGAGTGATTGGAGATGTTCTTCACAAGGTTGAGGAGTTGAAGGAATCTATCTTATCCCAATAATGGAACCAGTTGTCTTTTATAGAATCAACTAAACCAGGTTGAAGCAACATATTCATGTCTTGACAATGGAACTACATATGAGATCATTGAATGATCTTGTGGAAAGGATCTTAGATCATTGCAAGATTGAATGAAATTGTGTTTGTAAGGTGCAACCAAATTTCTATACAGCGTGGGAGGTGAAGGGGAGGTTTTTCTTCAGGCAATTCAATGCCATTGTGCAGGAACACCATTATTTTCTAGGTTGTTGAATCAAGATGTTGAGCTGGTTTGAACAAAGTTGGATGGTTGCAGTTCTTGTGGAAAAGAGATCAATATCTAAGTGCAGATCAGAGAAAAACCATAATGGTGGAATTAGATTGGAGTTATGAACGAAGGCCTTCTGCAATGTTGATTCTTTGGCGTATTCCTATTTCTCAGGACATGCTACTAAAATTACAGCGAGGACAAATATCTCAATAAAAACACCCATATTCGGAGCCTCAATCTAATTAGAGCAGTTCAAGCTACTCTATTAGTCCAAATTAAAGAAAGAGAATTAAATAGATAAAGGGGAGCTCATTTGTTAATCTTCACATTTCATCCTACCCAAAATGTCGTGCTTATAGAATACAAACTTACTAATTAATCATTCCTATCAACACTAATTACAATAATATTTTATTACTCAAACTTTTTTTAACTAATCACCCCTTATATTGTTGATTTTCAACATTGAGTTTCGGTCATGGAACTATGATATGCGATTATTGGATAATCTTCTGGAACTTTGAGACATGGACAGAGCTTGGATGCACAATCTTGAATGGTATTGTTTTATTAAGGTGGGATGATATTTTCTTAAGCGTGTGTTAGGTGGAGTCTGTAGTGAGTTGCTTTTTCTAGCAATACAACAATGTGTAGTGTAGGAACATCATTATTTCTTTAGCGGATATGGATAGTGGGCCGGTTTGAATGGAGTTAGTTTTTTTATGATTATTCAGAAGTGATCATATATCTAATGGAGATTACAAAGATCATGATGGTGGAATCGAAGTGGAGTTGTGGACAGGGGTGTTACGGCATCTGAATTCTTGGATGTCTTATTGTTTCATTGCAGGGCACAAGATGGAAATTGTGGGGACGAAAAATCTATCAATGAAAGCACTAATGATAGGATCCTTAGTCCTAATTAGAACATTTAGTTGTGCTATCACTCCTCAAATAAAGAAAAAAATAAATAAATAGAAAAAGGGTATCACATTTTCTTATTTTTCATGTCCCATCCTTCACCCAAATATTTTATTTATAGAATATAAACTTACTCACTAATTAACCATAGTTTTTAACACTTTTTACTAGAACGGTTTGCTAATCAACTTTTAACTAATTAACAATTAGATTTTTTATTTACAAAATTAGGTGTGGGCAATGGAATTACTTATAAAATTTTTGGACGATCTTGTTTACCATAAAAATTGGAATTACTTTTAACTAATGATGCTAGACAATGAAGTTAGAAACACTTCCATGATTTGAAATTCTAGAATCTAATCACTATTATCTTGAGCCGCTCCAACTCTCAAATTGTTAGTGGTTACAACACTCTCAATTGAACTAGTTTATATATGCCATATCCAGCTTGTTGCGAACTATTATGAATTCCCAATTCATCCAATGTTTTTTCTTATACATGTAGTTGAATGAATTGTGACTTTGGACGATCCAGTCATTAAATAAGTATACGTTTTAGATATCTTGGGTTTATTGTTTAGAGTGATGTTGAAATAAATGGGGATATTATTAATAGAATTCAAGTTGGATGGTTGAAGTGGAAGAATGCATCGAGCTTGTTGTGTGATAGAAATGTCCCTCTCAAACTTAAGGGAAAATTCTATGAGGTTGTGGTGAGACTTGCAATGTTTATGGTGCGGAATATTGGCCATTAAAAGAGAACCATAATATTAAGTTAAGTGTTGTAGAGATGAGGATGCGTAGGTGGAGTGGCTTTACACTTAAAAGATATGATACGAAATGAGTATATACATGAAAAGGATAGAGTACCTCAAGTGAAATATAAGATTAGAGAGTGTTGTCTTAGATGATTTGGTCACGTAAAACGCGGCCTTCTGATGACCAGGAAAGTAGATGTATTAGATTTGACTTATGTTAATAAAGGTAGAGGTAGACCTAAAAAATTTAGTTAGGAAATATTAGAAATGACCTTTCTTTATTAGATTTAAATAAGAATTTGACTCTTAACAGGGGCACAATGGAGAAAAAGAATTCATGTAGCCAACCCACATTGTGGGATAAAAGCTTGATGTTCTTGTTGTTGTTGTATGCAGTTGAATGGATAAATCCAGCTGCTTGATTATGCGCTTTCTTGAATCTAGAAAAGGGTTATATTGCAACCAAAAATTATTTGAAACTATTTCAAGAAAATATCCTATTGTGGTTCCCAACACTTGGCTTTAACAACCATTGATCTTGGCAAGGAAACAAAAAAAGTGATAGGTAGATTCTTGATACACCGGAATTAAAAAGGATACTAGAATTAAATTGTAATGAAGAAACTTACTGGAGTTTCTTGTTAGCCTAAGCTTTTGGACATTAATGATTAAGCATAGGCAATATTTCTCAATGGGTGCATAATTCATCTCTATAGGAATTAGACATCTACTTAATAGTATAAGAAATTCTCTTTTCCTTATTAT